GCGGGGATGGCAGCCCACCGAGCGGCGGGTTCCGCGCCGCGTCGCCCGCGAGCCCCAAACCTGACGATCACTGCTGCCCCACACCTACCGCCCGCCAACCAGGCCCTCTTCGTCGCCCCCGCGCCTTCTCTTCCTGCCCCTAAGGGTATCCCTCAGCCCCAAACATGTCCTCCTCAGTAAAATCCATCAACTGGTCCGCACCCACCTAGCCCCAGGTTTCAGCCTGCCCCAGGCCCCAGTTGACCCGCCTTCAGCATTGGAAATGGGCAGGGGGTGGGAAATCAGAAGGCCAAGTACAGGTCCCGGGGCGATGCGGATAGCCAGGACCCTGCTGCTGACATGGGTTGGTGGTAGTTTGTCCTCAACCCCCCGCCCCTCAGGTGGATGTCTCAAGGGAGGTCTGAGGCCCCTGGCTGCTGAGGTTAGGAAGAAAAGAAGTAGAAGCCGCCCCCTCCCCCTCAATCAAGTCGCGGCGGTGTGGAAACTGCACCTCCTCACAGCTGGGGTTCAGACCAGGGGGTCCTTGGCAGGCTAGGTCTGACTGAGGTGGGGCGAGCTTAGGACCCCAGGAGAAGCGCAGGGGACTGCCCCGTGGGGCTGATTCACATGGCTCCAGACAGGTCAAAACCTACCTAGCTCTGCCCTGGAGTTGGGTAAGCTCACAGCAGGAGGAGGACTCAGCCTCTGACCCGAGGCACAGGGCCTGAGCAAATGGACAGCAGTTTTGCTTATTTTGTTTCGGGTTTTTCTTTAGGGGGAAGGACAGGTAGTAGGCAAGGGCGGCATCTGCAGTACCCAGGCACGTTGGGCGTATTGGCCTCATAGGTGTGACCTTGGACAGCTCCTGTCCTGTTTCTGGACCCAACTTATATTACATGTTTAGGTACTACATGTGTATTTGTTAAATGGCTTGATCTGTGACATGGTAGGAGATTATCCACGGCCCCTTCCATCCCTGACTGGTCCTCTAAACAGACACAGCAGCAGAAACATCCACCCCACTAATTCCCAGTAGGACTGGCCTCACAGGAAGACGATGGGAACAAGTGAGCTACCTGTCCAGTGGGGTGGGTCAAGACAAGCCTCAAGAGTGAAGACGGAGGCATCGTAGGAAAGGCCTGGTGGCTCTGGGGCAGGAGTGCTCACCACATCCCTGGAAGAAGGGCAGAGGAGGCTGTTGGCTTTGGTCTCCTAGACAAACAGGAGCTGGCTTCTTTCTTCCCCCACCCAGGCTTCCCAGGGCCTCCGGGTGTGACAGCCTCCCCCATGCAGCACCCCACCCCCTCCCAGCAGAAGCCAGGGAATGGCTCTGTCACCAGAGGTGTTGTTTCCCAGCTGTCTGGGGGAGGTGAGTGAACAGGGAGTGTGTGTTGGGTGTGGGGACTCAGCAGATCTAAGATAGGATCGCTCAGCTCCCTCCCCCAACTAGGAGCAGCCACTTCCCTGGTCCTTTTGCATTGACACAGAATGTCTGGGTGGCGCAGCCTCTGTGAAAAGGAAGAAAAGAGCAACTTCCCTGATGGTCTCAGATGACGCTGTAGGGGGTCTAGCTCTTGCTTTTTGGCCCTGAGACAACTGTGCTTTTTAGCCAGAGAACAGAGATGCCAGATTCCAGGCTTTCAAGTTCAAAAGTCCCAGTATCTGGGTCTAAGACAGGTAAGGCTGGAAAGAGGTACAAATGGGCTGAGCTCCCCACCCCCACCCCGCACCACCACCCTATACACTACAGGGAAGAAGCTATTGGAGGACCAGACAAGATGTTAGGCAGGGATTTAGGAGTGATCCTCATTCCTCCATGGCCAAGTCTGGGGGGATGTGGAAGGGACAGAACCCAGAATAAATTAGGGGAGGCAAGGCCATGGAGTGTGGCTTGGAAAGCTGGCACATTGCTACTGCTCTCAGATTCTGGAAGCAGCAGGAGCAGAAAAGAAATGAGAGCACATATGATCCACGGAGGTGGGAACCCAGGAGGATTTATCACCAATAGAGGACTCTCACGGAGCAGTCCTCCCCAGCCGCCCCACCTATGCTATGGTGCTAAGGAACTCCCCAAATTTAGATCAATAGTGGAGGCAGGAGAAGGGGTGGGTGGGGAAACAGAATTCACCTGGAAATGACTAAGAGAATGTTTTCTGCAAGCAGGTAATCGTAGAAAATAGAGATAAACTGAACTAAAGAAAAGTAATATATTGGCATAACTGAGATCCTGGCTTCTATATTTACCAGCTTCTGGGGTTGGCAGCTGAATCTCTGGGCCCCACTCCCAAGGTTCATTCAAAAGATGTGGGAGGGGACTCAAGTTCACCTCTAACAAGCACCTCCAGTGATTCTGATGTAAGGACGTGGAGAAAACCCAAAGGTTTCCTCTTATTTTTTCTTCTTTTAACAACTGACTTAGAAGTTGCTGTGGAAAGGGGCTGGGTCATTGCCACACTGACACATGAACTTGCTCCATCCACATGAGTCACACCTGACCAAACTAGTAATTAATTTCAGAGACCTTGTGTATCCTTCAATACAGCATGTAAAGAAGAGGCCTTCTAATTAGGAGCAGAAGCATGCCTCTGGGAATGCTGCCTGGAATGGGGACCACAGGGCTAGCTCCACCATCATCACATCAGCTATTCAAACCCTGTGATGTCTGGCTTTGCCTTCTAATCTGGAAGGCTCCAGGGGCTGCCTGCCAAGCCCTGGGCTCCTGGAGGGAAGAGAGACTACCAGGTACCTACTGTATACAAGGTGCTTTACCTGAGCTCAGTGTCTTAATTACACAAATAATATGACTGTATTCTCCTCAAAAAACATTAAAACTTTCAACATAAATCTGAGGTTCCCTTGGACACTCTCCAATTCACTTGTCTTTTTGTTTTACTTTCTGAAAGTTTTCGTGTATTCTCCTTTTTGGGAAAAAAAAATTTTTTTGTTATATATATTTACCTATTTTTTTCTACTATTCTTTATCCTTAAATAAAGATGGATGTTGATTTTTTTTAATTTCCAAAATGCAGTATCTTCTCTCATCTCCCTGAGGATAATAATTATATATATTTTTAAAATTCAGTATTACATTTTAAACTAGGTATTAGGGAACCACCAAAATTCAAAAGGTAGAAGAGAATGTACAGCGAACTCTTGTTCTGAGTCACCCAGGAGCCCTGCTCCACACAGCTGCTGTCTCCAGTCTTGCAAATCTTCCTGAACGACTGGACTGGTGCAGAGACCAATATAGACATGGAAACTTTTTTTTTCTCTTTAAAACTACAAATGCTAACAGACTATATGCATTGAGTTTCCCTTGCCATTTTTTTAAACTTTCCAATTAAAGATTGTTTTTCCTCCTTGTGCTTGTGCTTAATATCTGTTTCTTCCAGATTGCTATGATGGCCTTTCTTTCTTTTTTAATATATGGGAGGAGTCTCTCTTTCATTTTGGAGGCTTTCTTTGAATGCTGGTTGTTGACTCTCTATTAATATTTAATAGGTTAATAGGGAGCCACCAAGAGGTTAAGTGAAAGCTGTGTGTGTGTGTGTGTGTGAGAGAGAGAGAGAGAGAGAGAGCATTCATTGACTGTTGGCTTTCTGTAGGACAGTGGAAGCCTTTTCCTGCAGACTCCCAAATGTTTACAGGTTGCAGGCTTTCTCCAGGGCCCTTCAGTTTTTTGAAAAAAATATCCTCTATTCCATATCCCTGCCCTGCGTGTTTGTGTGCTGCGGGGGGGGGGGGTATCTAGAGCAGAGTGGGGGCTTCTGTTTCTAGCTTTAAGCCTCACCTTTGCTGCACCTTGGGTCCCCAAGTCCAAAGCCTCCCAAAAATGGGCGTGCGGAGGGGTGGTGTATGTGACTCAGGTGTGAGAGGGGAGGGAGCCCCGGGGGTCTCGACACTTTGAACACAGGCTCTCGGCCATCCTGTGTTCAGCCAGGCTCTGACCTGGGGTCTGGGGACCTCTAGGATCTTCGGGCATGGTATCCTGCTCGGTCTATCACCACCCTTAGGCCATCGTCCAGCCTCCAAAGCTTTGTTGAAATCTTTTTCTCCACGGCTGTTTTCTCTTCTGGTCTCTAAGTCCTTGTAGATATATGCTTCTGTGACTCCTCTTCTGTTATTCAGTTAAGTTTTGGACAGGAGAGAAGACAAATGCTCCATGTTTAACCAGAAATCTCACCAGTTTATTTAACTAGTTCCTCAAGGACTAGCTTTTAGCTGTTTCCAATGTTGTTACTGTTACAACGTTGTTATAAATACCTCCCGTGACAATCCTACGAGGTAGGTACCATCTTGATTTTACACTGGGGAAACCTAGGCTCAAAGAAATACCCTGATGGGTTTTTCTCTTTTTAACTGGTTAATCTTTTTTTCTTTTTCATATATAGAATGATGTCTCATTAAAAATTTTTTTTGTATAAAACATAGTGTACATACATAAAGTGATATCATTCAATCCATGTCATTCTCCCTGCTCAAGTACCAAGCACAGTGCAGAAACCAGGCAGGCAAATGAATAATGAA